CTCCCTTGTTAACCTCTCAAGGTCGTGTCCTCTCTTGCATATCCTTATGTCCCTGAGTCCCCTTCCTGCTGTCCTGCAGGTGAGCAGAATCGGTGGCAGAGCCCTAGGGAAAGCCAGCAGTCACTGGATGATGTGGAGCTCCTCCCCTGTGTTGCTCCCGACCTCATTAAAACACAGCAATAGTGCCATTCACGGGGAACCAGTGTGGCTCTTCACTTGAGCATTTCACAATGAAATCCCAACACATACCACTGCCACTGCATTTACTCCAGAAGCCCTGGTGGGACTGTTAAACTGAGAGGTCAGTGGTTCGAACCCACCAACCTCTCCACCGGAGAAAGATGAGACAGTCTGCTCCCATAAAGGTTTTATGGTTTCCAGCCTCCGAAACCCTCTGGGACAGTTGTGCTGTGAGTCAGAACTGATGTGACAGCGGTGGGTTCGTATGGCTGTGATTCTACTGTTCCTGATGGTGTTGTCGGGTCCTGACACTTTTAAGAAGCAAGGTAGCCACAGTATGACTTACAGGTCTTTAATTTGGTAGTGGTGTTGCTGGGAGTCTGGTCTCTCTTACCCCCTTCAGAGAAATCCAGAATATTGGAAGATGTTTACCACAGCATTATGCATAATCTCCACCCCCCAATAAAAAGTTTGGATAAGGGAATTGTGCAACTATGTAAAATGAAGAGGTTATCGTATGAAAAAAGTTAAATCAATGAATAAAAGTGAAAACACTGAATAGTAAAGAGCTCGTGGAGCCCCAAAGTAAGGGAATTTCAGATTTACCCAATGCTCCCTGTGTGCCTGGCACTTGGCCTCTTTTATCTCTCTTCATGCTCAGAATAACTCCATGGGTAGATTCTCCCCCCCACCCCTTTTGAGAAGTGGGAGCCATGTGCCTGTGTCCCATGGATTCTGGGTGATGAGTTGTAGCATGAGAGGACTTTCTGGGGTGCAGGTGGGCTCGCTGGACTGGGGTGCTGCCGTGAGTTTTGGGGGAGGCTGTTCTGTGCTGGGAGGTGAACACAGCAAGACACAGACCCTCTCTGAGTTGCTCCCATAGCCCAGGACTTCCTGTCTGTCTTTGGATTATGAGATACTGGGATACATGTGCAGTCTTTTGCGGAGATTGGCTCAAACCACAGGTAGCAATCAACACCACCTGTGTAGCCCAGAGAGTTTCAGTCGGTTGCCAAGTGCTCGAGCATGCGCTTTGCTTTGCTAGGACCCTGAGCCGTGTTTGCTGACCTCAGTTATCACTGTACCTGGTGTGGGTAGAAATGTATTCCTAAAACGATGTGTTCAAGTATTTACCCCAGTACCCGTAACTGTGACCTTGTTGGGAAATAGGGTCTTGCAGGTGTTACTCGTTCTCATGAAGCCTTTGTGTAGTCAATAAAGCACAGGTAACATCGTTCTGGTATTCTCTGCTTTCAGCCAAGAACCATCTGATATCAGCAGTGATATCCCTGTTCCATGTCCACGTCTGAATCTGGCTTGAGATTCTGGCAGTTCTATGTCTATGTGTGGAAGACGTTTACCACAGCATTAATGAATTTTCTTTAGCGGAATTTTACTTGCATGTGATATTGTTAAGATACTGTTTGATAATTCCTACATTCTGTTGGGTCACCTCTCTTTGGAATAGGCACAGATTTGGACCTCTTCCAATCAGTTGGCTAGGTAGTTGTCTTCCAAATTTTTTGGTAGAGATGAATGAGTGCCTCTAGTGCTGCATCTTCAATTTGTATCCCATCAATTCCTGGAGGCTTGTTCTTTGCCAATGCCTTCAGCGCACCTTGGACTTCTTCCGTCAGTACCGTTGACTCTTGATCATATGCTACCTCCTGAAATGGTTGAACAGCAACCATTTCTTTTTGGTACATTAGCTCTATTTCTTACATTTTCTTTTGATGCGCTCTGTGTCATTCAAGATTTTCCCCATAGAATCCTTAAGTATTGTAAGTGGAGGCTTGAATTTTTTCTTCAATTCTTTCAACTTGAGAATTGCTGCGTGTGTTCTTTCCTTTTTGGTTTTGTAACTCTTTGCATATTTCATTATAATACTTGACTTTGTCTTCTCAAGTTGACATCAGAAATTTTCTGTTCAGCTTTTTCAGCATCGCATTTCTAATGGTCGCTTTAGCATCTCTACACTGGAGAGCAAGTTTCAGAGTCTCTGCTGACATTTGTTTTGGCCATTTCCTTCTTGTTTTCCTTTGCTTTCTTCCTGTATGATATTCTTGATGTCATCCCACAGCTCTTCTGGTCTTCAGTAATTTGTGTCTAATGCACCAAATCTGTTCTTGAGATGATCTCTAAATTAAGGTGGAATATCTTCAAGGTCCTGTTTGGCTCTTGTGAACTTGTTTTCATTTTTTTCAGCTTCAGCCTGAACTTGCATATGAGCAATTGATGGTGTGTTCGACAGTCTTTCCCTGGCCTTGTTTTGGCTGATGATATAGAGCTTTTCCACCATTTCTTCCCACAGATGTAGTTAATTTGATTTCTGTGTATTCCATCTGATGAGGTCCATGTGTATATATCTTTTATGTTGTTTAAAAAAAGTATTTGTAATGAAGAAGTCATTGGTCTTGCAGAATTTTAACATGTTATCTCCAGCATCGTTTCTATCACCAAGGCCATATTTTCCAAAGACTGATCCTTCCTCTTTGTTTCCAACCTTTGCATTCTAATCTCCAGTAATTATCTTGATTGCATGTTTGCTCTATTTCATATTGAAGAAGTTGGTTGAATTCTTCAATTTCATTATCATTGGCATTCGTGGTTGGTGTGTAAATTTGAATAATTGTGATGTTAACTGGTCTTCCTTGCAGATGTATGATATTGCCCTATCACAGACAGTGTTGTACTTCAAGATCTTGAAATGTTCTTTCTTTATTATGAATGGGTTGCCATGCCTCTTCAGTTTCCAGCTTAGTAAACCATATGATTGCCAACTTCAGATGGCCAATACCAGTCTATTTCAGTTCATTAATGCCTAGGTTATCGATGTTTGTGCATCCCATTTAATTTTTGACAACTTCCAATTTTCCTAGATTCATATTTCATACATTCCATGTTGTGATTATTAACGGATTTTTGCAGCTGTTTCTCCTCATTTTGAGTTGTGCTCCATCAGCTAATGAAGGTCCTGAAAGCTTTACTCCATTCATGTCTTCTTGGTCAGCAGTTCCTTGAGGAGGCAGCTCTTCCCTAGTTGTCTTTTGAGTACATTCCAACCTGAGGGACTCATCTTCTGGCACTTTATCTGACAAGATTCTGGTGCTCGTCTTCATGTTTCGGTGTTCTAGTGGCAGTGTCCCATGCTGTCCATAAGGTCTTCTGTGGCTAAGCATTCTGAAGTAGTCCGCCTTTCCCCCTTCCTAGTCTGTCTTAATCTGGAGGCTCAGCTGAAACCTGTCCACCATGGGCGACCCTGCTGGGATTTCAAATGTTGGTGGCATAGATTCCAGAATCATAGTAACATACTTTTTGAAGCCTCCACAGTACGACAAACTGACAGATGAGTGGTGGGATGTTTGGCTAGCAGGGTTATAATAAATAATTAACTGCCCTGCGCACTTCCTGCCTCTGAGAGAAGACAAGCATGCTGTTCTCAGCTCCTTGTGAACTCTCAAAGGCACAGTCAAGAAGGAGCCAAATTTCAGCTTCTCTGTGGCTCTGAAACCTATGATTCCTTCCTTCTGAGTAAATAAGGACCTTGTCCTTGTAGCCTCAACAGAAATGAAAGGGGTTGCCCTCTAATCTCCCCCTTCTCCCCAGCTTTTTGATGCCTGCTCAGGAAAATGAGTGTGGCCTTCAGCCTCCCTGTGGAGGAGAGTAGACGTCTATGAAGGAGACCCACGGCTGCTTTTCTGGAGGAAATGCCATTCTCTAGGCACGTCTGCTAACCAGAAGTTTGGCGGGTTGAACCTAGCTAGAGGCACAGGGAATCGTGGTGTAGCACTGTAGGAAAAGCACCAAGCCTCAAGGTTGGCAGTTCAAATTCACCAGCTCCTCCTTGGAAATCCTATGAAGGATTGCTATGAGACAGACTCAACTTGGTGGCACTTTAACCACAACAACGACAGAGGCGCTTTGGAAAACAGGCGATGTGCTTCTGAAAGGGTGCTGCCTTGAAAACCCCATGGAGCCATTCTAGTCTGTACACTGGGGTCACTGTGAGTCAGGGTCCACTCGGTGACAGTGGGCTGCTTGGTGGGTTACAGTCAGTGCCTTGTGTGATTGAGACATACAGTGGAGTCCTGGTGTGGTGCTGTAGGATAAACACTGAACTGCTAACCACAAGGTTGGTGGTTCAAACCCTTCAGCCACTCCTCAGAAACCCTGTACTGGATCACTACGAGTTGGAACCAACTCAGGGCACTAAACAACAGCGGCAGCATGACGTGCGGTGGTCAGACGGAAGTGGCCATCTGTGGGCTGTCACTGTTCCAGCAGCGATTGACCAGATTGCCCTCTGCTGTCTCCTGCAGGCTCCCAGATCCAGCACCTCACGCAGGTGGGGGTCTCAAGCAGGATTGGGTCTCAGCCCGGGGAGGCCCTGCCAGGCCGGGGCGGCCAGTACAGCGGGCCAGGATGGACCTCGTATGGCGAGGACGAAGCTGGGAGGAGAGAGGCCGTGAGTATTGAGCATTGGGGCAAATCATGTAGAAATCAGACAGAATGTCTTGGTTTAGCAGCTTCTGTTCTAGGGACCCGTTTTTAAAACCTATGTTTAAAAAAGGGTTTAATCTCTTTCACCTTTCCCTCCCTTCACCTCGATTGTGTTTTTTCTTGCAGTTTTCAGATGTCAGCTCCCTCCCACTCAGAGTGGGAGGGAACTGACATTGCATTCGGAAAGGCAGGCTCTGCCTGCCTCCTTCAGCTCTCAGATTTCCGTTTCTGACCTCTCCTGGTGCCTCCAACTTCCCTTCCTATCCAGCTCCTAGGGTCCATGTCTTTCCCCTTCTTACATGGGGTCAGGAGCCCCAGGCTTTCCCTCACCTCCACCCATCCCCCCACACACAGAGTGACCTTTCTGTTAGCAGCTGATGCACTAACCACATTGCCACCAGGGTCCCTGGCCATTGACTCTACAGGGTTCCTGCTTGTACCTCTTGCACTTGAGTAAGTCCTCCACAATAAAGCCTCAATCTCAGGGGCCCCGTGGACAGGGGTTTGTCAACTGGACCAAGAGCTGAAATAGTCACGAACTGGGCCACTCATTTACTCATTGTGTCTTTAAGCCAACAGGAGAGTGCTTCAAAGAGTTCAAGGAGAAATTTCATTATCTTTTGATTCCATGTTTCCACCAACTTTTTGAAGACTCTTCATCCTGTTTAAGTGCTTGCTAAGTCTGGTGTTTCTGAGTGATGCAAACAATTAAGCGCTCTGCCACTAGCTGCAAGGTTGCCAGTTCAAACCTGCCCATAGGCTCCTCAGAAGACAGACCTGGCCGTCTGCTTTCTGAAGATCACAGCTTTGAAAACCCTACGGAGCTCCGTTCCACTCCCAACAGCTTGTTAACTCACAAATAACCCAACCAAACCCGTTGTTAGCAGCAAGTCCATTCCAATTTATGGTGACCCTGTGGGACAGAGTAGAACTGTCCCTAGACTGTAACCTTTATGGAAGCAGATTGCCACATCAGAGCGTCTGGTGGGTTTGAACCGCCAACCTTTCAGTAAGTAGCCAAGCTTTTAACCATGTTGTTATCAGATCCCCTGGCTGTTAACTCCAGGGGTTCCTGCTTGTACCTCTTTGTCTTGCAAACAAGTCCTCCACAATCCCAGGGGTCCCTGATGAGGACAGCACATGGGGGTGGGGGAGGACTTGTCATTGTACCCCATGCTGTGTGACTTTATTCTCCCGCCTCTTCCTAAGTCAGAAGTGCAGTAACCCTTACCATGTTTTTCAGACCCACATGCTTGGACATCCAGAATGTTCTTCTTCACCGCTGTTTCAGGTGCCAAGGACTGCAGGCAGGGAGCCCTCCGCCCCACCTGGGAACCTGCCTCACAGGGCTCTGCCAGGCCCTGGGCTGCCTTACGCCACCAGCTCCTCTGAGGACCTGCAGCCCGGCCACTCCTCCACGTCCCTCATCAAAGCCATCCGGGAGGAACTGCTCCGGCTCTCCCAGAAGCAGACGGCTGTGCAAAGCTTTCACAGCTGACCGGCCCGCATACCTGCCCACGTATCCGCTTCCCGTGGAAGCAAGACCGAAAAGGAATCTAGTGAGGGGCGTTCGTGAGGGGAACGGACCCCCTCTCATGGAAGGAGGAAAGTGGGCGTTCCAGGAGACGCCCTCGACACTTTCATGACTAGGTTGGTGTGGACGCTTAGGATGAACTGTTTGCTTGATCCAAGCCAGCAGCACTTCGTGAACCCCAAGAGCCAAGCCTCAGTTAGCACCTTGACCACGTGGATCCTCTTCCTAAAGACAGAACTTACAGTGTGTACCTGGTGTTAGGATGGAGGGGGTGTCATATTTAGGGTTCATATGCTGAAGCCGCTGCTTGGTTTTCTGAGAGAAGAGATTTGAGGACATTTTATGAACAGCTTGATTTTCCTCTCTTTCTCCATAGGAACTTATTTTAATAGAAATATTAACAACAGGAATAATATGAGACCATTGGGCATTTTTTAAAAGCTACTTGTGAGAAACCAAAACGGTAGGTTGTGTGAGCCTGAGACCCCACAAAAAGCCATCGTCACGTCCTTCTCTTTCTTCTGGTGCTACTGCTCCAAAGACCCTCCACCCTCACGTCCCTGCCACGGAACATCAGCTTTTTCAGAAAAATACATGGAAGATTTCAGTCTGTTCTGGAAAAAACCCACAAGCAAACATAAGGCAAAGTCCCGGATTTGGGGGTGGGGGGGTAAGCTTACTATTTATTTGGTTATTTGAAATACATATTGAAGTTTAGATTTCCATTCTTAATTGCATTTTCTGTTTATTCACTGGGTCCGTATAGACAGCAGTACCCCATTTCAGCACATACCACTCTGAAGACCAGAGCTGTCCAGCGAGGCTCTCAAGGGGGCCTACCTAAACCTTACATTGCTGAGGAATTTCTCACAGATGATGTTTGAATTCAGTCTAAGGTGGGCAAAACTACCTATCAGAATTCTTCGGACCACCAGAGTTTTATTCTTGAGCCCATGGCTAATCGTGCCAGGCCCTGTGTTAAGTCCTGTCAGGTGACTCCTGAGCTGCAAAGAGGAGCTCAGAGACCACCAGCAACAGGAGGAGAGAGTGGCTTTGGACACCATCGCTCTGTGGAAGGGCTGTTGGAACCATCTTAAGCACTTTGGGCCTGAAAGAGGGGCCCACTCACCAGCGAGGTATGCGTGAAGTTAACATGTCTCTGCTTCCCAAGTTCTGGTGAGGGCCATCATGACCACTGGCCCCTCTGTTTCCTGGCACCTGAGTGAAACACAAGAGTCATCTTAGGTAACAGGGTTCCACCATCAGCCCCGCTGGATTAGATGAACCAATATTTTTAATTAAGCAGAAGATAAGTTAACAGGATTTAGGGCTAAGATGAAGCAGAACATGTGTCTGGGACAAGCTGCAAGCCCCGCCACAGCTACGCCAGTTTCCAGAGCTGCTGCCCTGCCACCGTCTCTTCATGAAGCTATTTTGCAAAGTTTTACAGTCTTACGCCCCAGGGGACGGAGTTTCTGGACAGTTAAAATGGTAGCCACTTGTCATCTGGACACCCCTAAAAGACAAGGGATGCTGGCAAACTTGATACTCAAAAATAATTTTGAAATAATCAAAGGAATGGAAACTTTTTTTCAGTTATTCCTCAGTGGCCTCCAACAAGTGTGGCGAAAAGGCCTGGTTAGGCTTCACGTCTTAGTTCTCTTGGCCTTGGTTTAACATCAGATGCTCCCCAACTGGAGGAGTCAGAAATTACCAAGTGTCCGAAATTTGTTACTAAGAATTTCATTTAAAACACAGAAAAAGGAACTACTCTGCTTTAGTTAGGTTATTGTGGTATGAATACTGATTGAGACTATTCCTCTGTACACTTAAGACATTTTTTTCAAAAAATGAGTATCTAAAGGGAACAAATGGAATGGGAATCATGAGAAAGAAAAAATAATCATCATTTCAGCTGCCCAAGCAGCATTTTCTCAGAAACATCCTGCAGTGAACTGAGATCCTGTCCCAGCAAGTGGAATACATGTAGCTCCTCCCCCTCGTCTCCCTGCTCAGCTTCCTGTTTGCACACAGAGGGTGTCAGCATGGTTACCTCCTGGACATTACAGATACGGCCTCTGTTCATAAGAGGGTGGAGCGCAACAGAGGCATTGATGCCTTCCAAACCAGCAAAAAGGATTCTACTCATGTTTTGATTATTAGTGTACCTGAACCTGCTTGAAAAGAGATTGTCAAGACCAAGGATGCCATTGAGAGATCCCTGATGTGGGTGGTTTGATATAAGCAAGCTCATTGGATCACCAATACCACTATCATTTTGGTCATAAAACACACCCAAACCCCGACTCAGAACCAGTAGTGTGGTGGACACACCAAAACAGGTCTTCAGAAACAAAAGTGATGTGATCTACTGAAAAGAAGGGTCCTCTTGTTGATCCTAAGTGGTTTTCGAGTTTCATTTATGTAAGCACTCTAAAACACAGTTTTGTGTTGACACTTTTCTTCCATTTTAAAAGTTCTTGTGGCAACATGAGTTACACATCTGATTTGGGGTTTTGAAGATTTTGGAGAAGCGATATTCTCTGAGTCTGCTTTGCTGCTAGCTCAGTGTATCAGGTCCCCTCTCTGGGCCTCATTCTCCCCATTGGTCACTTGAAAACATAGCTGTCTGCCCACCTCACAGGACCACAGGTGTGAGAATCAGGTGTGGATCTGTGTGAGAGGATCGTGGAGGGGCACAAAGTGTTGTGTGTGTTGCTGTCTTGACCTGTATGCTAGGATGAGCTGTGATCTACCAGAACAGGACCGAGACCGCAGTGTGAATCCTGGTCTGTTTCCAGTCACTTCCACCATTTTCAACCACCGCTGAGTCAACATCTTCCTGCTCCTGACCTGCTGTTTCTGGTTCCTGAAAAATTAGCAGACCCAGATCTGGCCTTCCGAGATCGTAGGATCTAAGGAGATAGCACAGCTGGGTATAAAAAAGACGGAAGCTGCAGCTAAGGCTTCAACAGCAACATGTGCTGAAAGTACACAAACAAGAGCATGGGTCCTCAGTGAGGGCAAGTGATGGAAATTGCACATTGGGAAGCGGTGGTATGTTATGGTCAGTCAACCTCAGAAACTACCTTAATGAAGACGAGAGCTGCCCAAGCTGGTGTTGGATTTAGAAATGGACTGACACCGTCAATGAGTTGGACTTGATCCTGATCTGCCACAACATGGGGACAGAATCCTGGACCACACAGTCCAGTGAGAAAGTGACCAGGTCTATGAAGAAGGTTTGCTGAGGAAGAGATCCCATCTGGAGGAGGAAAGGGGTGAGGACCCATAACTGATGAAGGACCAAGTGTAAAAGATGGAAACCATGATGGACTTTCAGCGAGGGCTGTTGCACAGAGCAGGTATCTGCAGTTGGCTCGGCCATCTGGCTACATTAAATTCTGTGGACCATAGTGAGTTATAAATAAATTCCACTTCCTTAAAGCTGCCTGAACATTTTTCTCCAAGATGTTTTAATTTCCATGTGTGTGGATTTTTTTTTTTTTGGATGGCATGTGGCTTTTGAGCAGCAGGCTAAGTAAGTGGGTTCTTGTTACCCAAAGCCTTCAGGGCATAAGACCTGTGATTTGAGCACAGGTAAAGGTACCCCTGAAAGGTTTCAGGCAGAAACTGTCATTGCAAACTGAATTTCTGTTCCCAGGTACAAACAGGATCAGGGCTTTGTGAGTGCCCCAGGGGCCCTGTGGATTCCTCCCATATGGATTTGCATTTGCAGTCTTTCATGAGTTAATCATTACATTCACTTCACTTATAATCCCTTTCTTATGAAAGTTTTAGATTCTAATGAATTGGTTGGAATGTGAGCTGGGGAAGGCTCCGGGCAGGGGATCAGGGGTCAGGGTGGCTCTGGTCTTAACTACCGCACTCATGTTGGCTCCAGCAGTTTCAGCCATTTCATATCTACCTCCAGAGCAAGTCCCCAAAGCCAGTCTTGAGATCGGACTCATCATATCTGCCCTGTGAACCACACTACTACTGCACCTGCTGATCCACCACCTGAATGAGACACATTTCCAAGGAACAGGAAATTGAACTTTGTTGTAAAATGGAATCCAACCTGCAAACTGGTGCTCCTGCAATAGGTGAGAAGCGTTTCTACCAGAAACTGCTGTGGCGTACTTGTGAAATTTACGTAGGGTGTGTGCGCGCGCAGTTCAGATGTCCGCTGAGATATTCCTGGAGGTGATTTCTGGTGTTCAATCTTGGACTCCTTTCCCTGGTATGGAAGACTTGAAACCCTAAACCTCATGGTACGATTCCTAATTCCATGCTTGTGTGTGTAACTGTACACTTGACCATTTATCTTGACAATACCCTGCAGCACTGAAATTTAGAAAAGGCTAGTAAATGCTTCTGGAAACATGAAACCAAGTTAGGAACAAGTGATAAAAGTGAGAGAAAGAATGAATGTCTTAATCTGATGCACTCTCGTCCAAATTCGTTTCCCACAGGGTAGCTAAGTTTGCAGGCTCCTTACTTTTTCCTTCTCCCTCCCGTCTCTCTGTTGGGGCCACACCACAAACAAAGTGAGAAGATACAGGGACAGAAGGAAGATTCCAACGATCTGAACCTCATGGTCCCTGGCTACGTGGAACCTTTCTGGACAGCTGGGGCCAGCATGAATAGCCTTTCTCATGCCCACCTCATCTTATGTGTTCATTATGTGACTTAGGGGATAAGTGTGCGCATTAGGGTGATATGGGGTCAAGTTCAAGCATCCTGTACGGTCCCTGATGTCGTTGTGGGGGGTGAGGGGAGGAGCCTGAAGAGCCCAGGCCCCACTGATTCACTCAGTTGCTCCATGCATCGGCAAACTCATTTCAGGAAAGGGGAGTCGAAACTCTCAGCTTTGCCCTCTTCCTGCCATCCATGGGACATGGACTCTGGGCTCCTGCCATCCATGGGACATGGACTCTGGGCTGTAGGGTAGGCTGCCCAGC